GAGAGAACACTGAAGGCACCGATAGACGTACAACTTAATCTTCAGCGCGCTAACTCTCTCTTACGCTTATTTCAAACGGTTGTGTGGGAGTATGAGTGAGAACTCATGGGTGCCAAGAGTGATGATAATAAACGTGAGTGAAGAATCACAAGTGTGAGTAGGTCTAAGTATGAACATGAATGTGTACAGATGAAGAAGAACAGGCGTGAGCAGTCAGGAGTGACTAGAAAGTCTGAAAAATTTTGGTAAATGAGTATGATTGAGTATGCTCTTGTGCTGACCTATGTCATAAACACCATAAAAAGGCCTTGTCAAATTGGCCAATAATTACAAGAAATATATAATTAAGCCTCTTTTAAACAACGGCCAAAATAGTTCGGCCAAAATCTGTTTCCTTAACTCAAATCGTGTCGTTTTGAAGGTTGTTTTATTTGACAGCAAAGCAGCACAGTTGAACACTGTTAACAGTAAACTTTATATTTAGCCTATCTATACTTATTTTTGAAAACACAGTGATGTGAGTCTGTTTCAAAAAACTTCATTAGGGACGGCTCATGTCTCTTTCATAAAGAAGTATGTCATGCTTCAGCCGTCAAAACTTTTTCGAAACACATGGCTCGGCTGATTCTTTTCCAATTCTATCTTTTGAAGTCCACAGTTACATTAAAATATTGCGTGCCATTCTTCGACAGCTGAGCACATAAGGCTCTAAATGATTGACTTTCTTCCTGAATAATAAATGAACTCCAAAATTCAAACAAAAACTAGGCAATTCGGATGGGATCTGGGAGAGACAGAGATAGGTTTTTTAAGAAAAAAAACAAAGAGAGAGATCTGGAAGATATAATTGCTTTTATGGCTCTATCACCACTGGAAAGAAGTAATGCAAGCTGGCAGTGTAGTCGTGGAAATTACTCTCCGCTTTTCCTTTAGGGACGACGCGCGTGCGGAGTCGGCCCTGAAGCTCTTGAATAGTGTTAAAATGAAATATTTTACCTGCGTTTGAAACTACTACTTCATTGCGGCCTCACTTGCCTCCAAATTTTGTTTGCTTCTTCAAAACGATTCCGGAATACCAATTAGAGGGAAGGGGGAGGGGGGCATGCCACTTAAAATTTAAGACGGCCTGTGTGATATGACACGCTGCCATGAACTGGATTCTTGGAGCGCTTTCACTGATGTTCATCTTGGTGGTTTTCTTTTTTTTTATTATAAAGGATCGTATAATTCTGCATTAGCGTTTGAACTTTGGGGTCGTTTATTTTTTTATTGCGATCAAGACTAGCCCTCAAGATGAAATTGTCTATGCTTCGGTGGTTCATCACCACACAATCTTGACTCATTTCAAACCAGTCAGAGAACTCCATCGCGCCAACACCTTTAGTGCATGAAAGAAAACGGAACCAAAATTTGATTTCTTGAAAGAAAGGAAGGGTGCGACGACCTATTGTGTGCGAATGGGCGTAATTGTATGCATGCGTGGATTTATGCTCATTTAGCTGCATAACTATATATGCAAACAGTATAAATCTCAAAAGGCAAACAGTAGTAGCCCCCCTCCCCGTGGTATGCACCTAGGTCAACAGAGAAAGTTGCCTTTTTCAGGAGCTTGCTCGGTCACCTTATTATGTTCGCGCCTTGTGCGCCGGCCATCGGCATGTACCCAGTGCTACCAATGTACACTTCTTCGGTCGCCGCTGACGGCATCCTCTCCAGTGATTCCAACAATTCTCACTAGACGACGTGCCACCACCCAAGGCGTCTGTTTCCGCTCAACTGACTTCACCCGTGCTCTTCTGAAGATTCGGTCCCTCAACGCACAGGCTCATTACATCGAACGTGATCCCTTTCTGACCGCTGCTGACTGTGCTCTGCATCATGGAGACAGGGAATACTGGAAACACACACATCACTGGGTTCGTTCCTGTTGTCTACACCAAAGAAGCGAAGCGTCCTGCGGGTGACGCCAGGATCTACATCAAGCCATCTGATGCGGCTGAAGAGCTCGTGTTGCCAATAACCAGCCAAAGCCATAATGCAGAGCCTGCCTCCATGAAGTTCTTATCTGGATTAACAGTCATGGCTGTGTGCTTGTCTGAAGGAGACGTCCCCAAGTACACCAAGAGGATAATGCATCGATACAGGACCGATTTCCAACATGGTCCCTTCGTATTCGTCGGAGACCTGAACGTGGAGGTCATGCAAAGCAATTGGCTAGTCCAACGCATGATGTCACGTAAGGGTCTGTAATACGTATCGTGCGACTGCAATCGTCCCACAACAATCAGGGGCCCCTGTATTGATGCTGCGTTCTCGAACTTTTTATTGCGTCCCATCATCGATGATACCTTGGCAGCGTACTTTAGTGATCATAAAAAGTAATCTTTAAAGGGAAATGAGTCCCGAAGCTCGTGGAAAAGCGCCCTTTTTGTACTTCATGGTGATGAACAGTGGGGCTTTATGAAGCAAGGGCGACAGGTGGCAGAAGCCACCCGTGGTGTATATATAATGTACAAGTGCAAGTATCATAAAGCAGTCAGCACTAAAGGGAAATGTGTCCTTGACATCATCGAGCGACGCCATTCTTGTACATTGCAAAAGAGCATTTCTTGTGTATATAAATTGTATAAGGTTAATGAAATGTTTATGGCTAATGCAAATATAAATAAATGAACATTGTGTATGTAATGTATATATAACCACGTAGTCACGTCTATATTGATGGTAGGAGATGTGTATGGAGGATTTCCTGGTTACCCGATCATCTTCGAGCAAGCTCTTCTAACATCATTCAGTTTGTTGATTTGTGATTGATTTTTTTTCTTCTCCAAAACAAATATAGAGCCGCGCACCATCATTGTGTGCTTCTAAACAAAATACGTGCCATCACACGATTTCGCGTAAGCCATCAGTGCGGAAGTTGCTTCCCTTACGAACAGCCAGTGTGCCAATTAATCAGGTAATTTAGCCAAACTGCCTTCAACACCATGTCTTAAGCTTAGTAAATAGTCTGATAGAACTTAGATAAGGGGAGATCAGGCACCACCACCCGGGGAGGACACGGCAAGGAATTAATGGATGTGCGCCCTGCAGACACGAAGGACGACCACCCGGGAAGTAGTGAGCTCAGCCGCAGCAAGCTAGTACCGTGTGAACGGGTGGTGCAATGTGCTATTGACCGGAAATGTAAAATTGTGAATGTACCCAATCAGTAGTGCCATCTTAAGTGCGGCGTTGATTCGACACATTTAGCCATTCTATTCACTCCGCATCTTGAGGGGTGTCCACGCTTAACCAATTGTAGGAATAAAGCTCAACATGTCCTCAGTTTTCTACGGTTGAACCGAATAATCAGTTTATCCTCCTCTAACGAAAATGCTATAACGGATATACCATATATCTCATTCTTCGATGTAAATTTGTTATGCCGCAGTCCAGTGATTTGAATAAAAGACACAGCATTATATGCGCACATGTGCCGACCTTACCTTATACCCTCTACAATCACCTTTAATATTTTTAGAGCACTTTAATGAGGTCCAGCCTTCAGAACTACTGTAACCGCACCGTAAATAAACTGTTATGAATGCTATAGATGTCACTGTCCTCTCACCTCGTCATAATTTCGTTTTCAGTTGTCCTGCAGCTTTCGTCAAAGCCATGTATTCCGTCATTTAGCCGGTCCACCGTAGTTACAACAACTAATGGGATCGGTGTGTTTGGTACGTTTGGTACGTTCTTCTGAATATCTACCCTCTCACGATTGTTTTTTTTTTTGCGGTGACACCACAAGAGAACAATTACTTTCACCTTGCAGCATTGGCAATCCATTTCAGCTTTCTTCTAAGTTCATAATTTATAGAAAGCTTCCGTTATCTATTTATCATATCACTTTTTTACAGCGCCGTTGCATTGAAAACGAGTAAAAAAGCCCAACATTTCTGGTTGGTGTTTTTTGTTTCTTCATAGGCTTCAATAGGAACGCTGCCGTGAAATGACACTAGTATTTCTTACGGTGCACAGCCCGTACCTTACGCCGAGCATTTGATATTTGTTTGCCTTCTTTAGGGTGCAAACGTTGCTCGTTCCATATTAACATCTAAACTTAGTTCTATCAATCACAGTAATGTGATTTACCTACCTACGGGTGTCGCAGCACCGAAGTTTATTGCACATGAAACAACCTTCAATAAATTAGTGTCTAGAATCTTCCTCCTACCAGCTTTACATCTTTGTCACTCCTTAAAGTACTTTCTCCTATCAACTAATACACAAGTAACGTCATTAAAGATTTACAGAGGAGCAACAATGATTATCGATTGATATCTATTTCAAATCAATAAACTAAATGTGTGAGTGATGCGTTGTTGTTTGTGCTCGCTAAGCAATCCGATATGAGATGAACGACAATGTCTAGCGTCGAATAAGCTTATCTGTACTGCACGTCTTATAATTCAGTATTATCACGTTTTCCTCTTTATGATAAGGATGACAATTTGTCAGGAATGAAAAGGGTACGGATTACTAAATGGCGCAGTTTGAAACCGTGTAATGTTTATGGTAATAAAATTGAGCAATGGATGGCAAATGGTTCTGAAATAAGCCATCCCGACCTTCGGGGTTACCGGCCTTGACATGAAGAACACGCTTTGTGCGACCAGGCGATGAAAGTTCGTGTGCCTTTCGTTTCCACCCCGCTGCATTGCGAACAGCTCGTACAAGCGCGCACTGTTCGATCATAGGGAGCATTCGAATTCAGACTCCAAAGGAAATACTCCATCACACCCACGACGTGGGGGAGTTACGATGTGTCCTTGCATATGCACAGCTTTATTACCTTCTTCAATGCTTCATAGTCCACAGAAATATTTATTTTTATGCGTTTTATAGTTTCTCACGATCCGTCCTACATACTACACCTCCTCTCCGGATGCGTCACCGTTAGAATTGAACTGGACACGAGTTGATACCGGACTTTCTGGTCGCGATCAATAAAGATAACCGGCTGGATATATAAGCGTTTCGCCATTACTTTGCAACGAGCGTACCTCGTTGCGCATCCGATAACGTGTCCAAGTCCTTGGAGCCACTGCGGAAGAAGCGCTATGCTTGGCAACGTGAGTTCTCATCTAAAAGGCCTGTGGAAAAAACTTCCTGTGTTGTTACTAAAGTGCTTGTTAAAGTCGCGTACCACTATAAAACACACGCGATCTCTTTATTACTGCACAGTTTGATATTCTAAGTTACCAGTAGCGATTTGACAGATATTCTTCAGTGAGTTTAAGAATGAATTGCGATGAGAACATACAAAGTATCGAGAGAAATCATGCGGTTCGACTTGCGCCGTTATACGGTTCGTCGTGGAAAGTATATTTGTAGCACCCAAGAGCAGCCAATTCATATCACCACGCATTCAAAACGGTGCTCCGTAGTACAGCAACGCATTCCCTGTTAAACTTATGTGCTCTGGCTGCTCTTCGTATGTGCACTTGCAGATTGCATCAAAATTAATGTCGCTCTTTTTTCTATGACAAGCATAACACACAACTCATCTGGTTCACCTATTAAACTCTTCATATCCTTCAAAATAATGGATGTGGCGAACTACGGTAGTCTCCGGTGCCACAATTAGCGCGTACACGCCGTTTTTTGAGAGTGTCAGGAGTATGAAACGTAATACTTTCCAAATCAATCAAAATAGAACTTATAATTGCTGAAAACTAGTACGGAAGTGAACCTATATAAGTTTTAAATAGAGGTAAATGGAAATACTATGTTTTATCATTCTATACTGACCAATCTTCTTTCAGGCATTTCTCTTACTCCTTGTTGGCCTGGCGGTGGGTCAGCGACCTGAATATTACGACGGGGTGAGTTTCAGATAACCTGGCTATTTAGGAAATCTACGGAAGCTTCACTAAAGTGAAGCAATTTGAGCTCTCTCAGCTCCAAATAGGTGGATATTGTTATAATAAGGCTCGCTTCATTCTTTACTTGTGTGAAATTGCGCGCTCTCTTTAGAAAATATGTCCGTACCTATTTTGGAGGTAAAAACATGCTACACCTATTTCCGAGTTATTCGGCCTTCATTTGAAATGCAATACGTGGAATACGTCAAACAAAAATCACTGGCAGTGATTATTTTAGAATATTGCACGCCTATGAAAATTGTGATCAATGTTCGCTAAGTATTCGCTGGGACGACCAATCGTCAAGAAGACGTAGACATCATCTGGAGACATTATCTCTACAAATGCGTATTCGATAACCTAAAATATTGATAGAGCAGCAAAACTAAGAAAAATTCTGAGACAGCTGCATTTAGATATTTTGGAGAATTTTTAGTATTAAAAATACACAAGGTGTGGAAGTTCTTCGAACTTTCAGAATTATATCAGTGGGGAGAGCATAATTGATGTTTTTTTTTTGTGTATCCGGCAAATCTGTTCTAACAAAGAAAAAAAAAGAGCTCACGTATGCAGCGGGTAGCAGTGAGCCTGTCTTTGCTCAGTCTCTATTCTCTATAAGCAACAGAAGATGGTCTATAAACACAAGTGTTACATTGGGAGCGAATTCTACTCCAGGGATTCAGTTCACCTAGAAAGTTGCTTCTACGAAATGCCTTCACGTTTCGAAATACCATTTAGAGGGCAAATGCGTGATAGTTCGGATACCGCGACTCTGTACGTGAACAATATGTGTTGCTAAATAGGTGAGCTTGAGAAACTCCTGTGTAATAAATAATTTTCTTCCCCGCAACTTGTATTCACAGCCTCCGCAGCCGTACACATTCTCATACGACATCACAAACGATTTCGGGACGCGTCTGAGCCAGACGGAGAGCGGGGACGCGAATAACGTCAAGACGGGCACGTACTCTTATTCAGAGGCGACTGGCATCTACCGCAACGTGAACTACATTGCCGACCAGGACGGTTTCCGGGTTACCATCGACACCAACGAACCCGGCACCAAGACATCGGCGCCAGCTGGTGTGGTCATCAATTCCCAGGTGGGCTCACCAACTTATACGTAGTCGCGCACAGAAGCTACTGGCAGACGCTGAAAGATATTAGGATTCATGACAAGCAGCGAGAAAGTTGGGTGGTAGACTTAATGTCTGTTAGCATCAGCCACTGCATGCTGAGGAAGGAGAAATTCTCGCCGTGTGCTTAGTGGTAAACGCAGAAGCGACAAGGTAGGATTACGCTTAGTTACATTATTTGCCTCGAATTAAATTGATAGTCTAAATTAATTGATATTACCTTCGAGATAGGTAATAGTGCACTTCAAGTTGTAAAATACTATATGTACTTAGGGCAGGTAATAACCGCGGAGCCGAACCACGAGATTAAAGTAACTAGAAGAATAAAAATGGGGTGGAGCACATTTGGCAAGTACTCTCCAATCATGACAGGTAGATTGCCACTATCCCTCAAGAGGATGGTATATAACAGCTGTATCTTGCTGGTACTTAGCTACGGAGCAAAAACCTGGAGACTTACAAAGAATGTTCAGCTTAAATTGAGGACGACGCAGCGATCAATGGAAAGAAAAATAGTAGGTGTAACCTTAAGAGACAAGACGAGAGCTGAGTGGATTAGGGAACAAACCATGGTTCAGGATATCATAGTTGAAATCAAGAAGTAATGGACATGGGCCAAGCTTGTAGCACGCAGACAGGATAACCACTGGTCATTAAAGGTAACTAACTGGACTCCCAGAGAAGGCAATCGGGTTAGGGGGAGACCCAAGGTTAGGTGGGCTGATGAGATTAGGACGTTTGCGGGTATAAATTGGCAGCAGCAAGCACAGGATCGAGTTGACTGGTGGAACATGAGAGAGATCTTTGCCCTGCAGTGAAGGTAGTCAGGCTGATGACGATGATGATGATGATGATGATGATGATGATGATGATGAAATTTATAGTCACCAAACGCTGGCACCCCGCCGTGGTGGTCTAGTGGCTAAGGAACTCGGCTGCTAACCCGCAGGTCGCGGGATCGAATCCCGGCTGCAAAGACTGCATTTTCGTTGTAATCGAAAATTCTGTAGACCAGTGTGCTCAGATTTGGGTGCAGGTTAAAGAATGCCAGGTGGTCAAAATTTCCGAGACCCTCCTCTACGGTGTCTCTCATATTCATGTGGTGGTTTAGGAACGTTAAACCCCACATATCAAACAAATCAACCTAACGCTGACGAGAACTACTTCTACCGTAGTTCAATTGATTGAGCATGACGCGCGCGAACTAAGCATTGCAAACTTTGCACTGCCGGTGAAAAGTTCTTACATTCTCTTTACTTTCTTCACATATACACCATAACTACTGCAAAACAGACAAACCATACAAATAACGTTTAGTGTACCTACCGTGACTTCTTTATCTCTTAGTTTTCGTTGAGGATTCGTCAAACAAATAAAACAACTAGAAGTCCTTCCTTTTGTTCTTTATGGTTCTTACTACCACTGCCGCAACTGCGCGTGATATAGCCACACATAGAGGCGAAAATTTAGACCAGTACTTTTATAAATACAAAAGGAAATATATCCAAGAACAAATGCTTGGCGGGAACTTTGAAAACATACTTCTTGATATTTTATGCCCAATAGGAAATGTAAGGCACACTTGATTTCCGATGGTAAGTGTCTTCCGGTTTTTATAGGTGCCGCTTACTTTGTCTATGAGTGATCGTTCTTGTTGTGCACAGTTCAAGGAAACCCCTTTTCAAAAGATTGCTCCAGAACTGTGCAGAACCCAACTACGTTCTTAGTTTTGACACAATGTGCAGTTCTACCTGCTAGAAATGTTTGGCGGTGCACTACACTTGAAGGTGAAACCCTGCTGCACACTCCTTCGTGAATATAGACCACACTTTCGGAGAACTGGCTGCTTGCAAGACATAACGAGCTACGGAGGAAACACAGGCTAGTAATTACCTTCAGGAACCCTTTAGGTTGCATTGTGCCCCCCTTGTCTTGCACTAAGGATGTTTTCTGCACCACACTTGACGGGTCACTTTCTCCCTGAACGACTAACTTTTGACCAAGCAGCAATGCCATGTAACCACTCCACCAAACACTTTCGCCTTAATACACACCACCAGTATGGTACCGGTAATATTTCCGACTGCCACAAAATGACCTTTCCGTGCAGGCCGCCGATGTCGCTCCACCTGCGACGCCCCTAACCAGCAGGCCAGCTGCCTTTGTTGCAGCCCCAGCGCCACGTCCGAGGGTTGTGGCACAGCCTTTCCCGCAGCCTGCACGATTCGTCGCTCCCATCCCTGTCGCGCGGTCGCCAACCTTTAGGCTGACACGGCCTGCTCCTCTGCGTGCATTTCCAGCCCCGGCGGTCACATCGTCTGCCTTCAAGCCTGGTGGTTCCCGATCTTTTACGCTCGGCGGCAACCCGCCACTCACATACACATTCGGAAGAAGTCCGTAATAGTGATCATATGTCAGCAAGATCTTTGCCCAATATGTAACCATAGACTCCTTCAATAGGAGTTAGGGAACTACTCATTATGGCTGCCGTAAAGACACGTGTCAATTGTGATCACATCATATATATGCTGTA